GGGAGCTGCTGGGGGGGTGCAGGGGGTGACAACAGCAGGGTGTGCCCAGGGCTGCAGAGGGGCCTGTCAGTTTTGGGATACAGCACCAGGGGTGCACATCAGACTGTGCAGGAGGGGACAGGGGTACCAGAAAGGATTTGTGTGGGGTGTGGGAGTGGCTGGGGGGTGCAGAAGAGGAGACATAGAGGATTTTCTACATGGGAGTGCTGAATGGGTGCAGGGGATGCTGTGGGAGGGGTGCAGGGTGCTGCAAGGCGGGAGATCCTCTTGGGGAGGGGGTTGAGAGGGTGCAGGGGGAGCTGTAGGGGATTTCCTGCAGGGGTTTGCAGCACCAGGGTGCTGTAGGGTGCAGGGTTGCTGCAGGATACTCTGCAGGGGATGCCGGGGGGTGCCCGGGGACTGTCGCAGTCCCCCCCCCCGCCCCCGGCCACGCAGGTGGAATACCAACCAGCGGTGACGTCACGGCGCGGAGTTTCCCCACCCCATGACGTCACCGCGCGAGGACTCCCCCTCCGATGGCGCAGCACGAAAGCTCCCCTGGGCTGGGGGCGGGGAGGAGGAGGGAGAGGAGGCAGCAGGGGGAGGAGGAGCAGCAGGGGGAGAAGGAGAGGGAAAAGGAGGGGGAAACGCACAAGGGGAAGGGGAGGGGGAGAGGGAGAAGAAGGGGAGAGGGAGAAGAGGAGGAAGGCTTTCAGCAAGCCTAGCGCTGCCGGAAGCCGCTTATCCGGGGGGACCGGATCCAGCTGCGGCCCCGCAGTGGCTTTGCTCTGGCTGGCGGCCCAGAGAGGGGGAGCCGAGCATGGGGGACACAGGCTGAGCCCCCCGGAGCTCCCTGCAGAGCCTGTCCTGACCCGCTCCCACTTCAATCCCACTCCCACTCACTTGGCTCCAGCGCTCAGGACGCGGCTCTTCCTCAGCACCGCCGCCAGCATCCTCCTCCACCGACAGGGACACACCCCGGGGACAACCCTGGGCACCCCCAGCCCCGCAGGGAACCCTGTCAGGTCCCGGGCACCCCTGTGCCCCTCGAGCCGGGCCCTTTCTCCTTCTCGGGACTCCAACAGCTGGAGCTGCCGGGAGGACTCGAGTGAAAGAGGAAACTGGGAGGGAGGGGGGCGGGTGACATCAGCCACACGCGCCCTGTCACCCGGCAGGAGGGGACAGCGAGGGACAGGCAGCAGAGCCCTCTGCCAGGCCTGGCCTCGGCCGGAGCACCCCCACGGGTGTCAGGAGCCACAGCCACGCCTGTCCCTGCCACGGCTGGAACGGGAGGGAGCACTGTCCTTGTCCCTGCAGAGCATCCCACTGTCCCTGATGCCATCCCAGTGTCCCTAAGGCCATCCATTCCAGTGTCCATGACACCATCCATCCCGATGCCCCTGATGCCATGCCGGTGTCCCCAGCGTCCACGCTGTCCCTGGCGGGTCCCACCTGAAGCAGTCAGCGTGCCAGTCAGCCTTCAGTGCCTGCAGGTACTGCCCATCGTAGATGCCCTGCCCACAGCTCGCACACACTGGCAGGTCGCTCCCTGCAGGCGGGGAACACGAGGGGACAGCGCTGTCACCCCGCCAGCCGGTCCCGATGAAATCCCTGTGCCCGAGGGTGAATTCCATCCCCCACCCATTGATCCCCGGACGGGTCAAGGTCGTGGCACCCATGGCCCCAGGGCTGGCAACAGGGCAGGGGTGGGATGGAGGCACAAGGTGGGTGCAGGATGGGGCAGAGGGGGCAGGATGGGGGCACATGGTGGGTGCAGGATGGGAGCAGAGGGGGCAGGATGGGGGCACAGAGTGTAGGAAGGGTGAAGAGGGGCAGGATGGGGGCACAGAGTGTAGGAAGGGTGAAGAGGGGCAGGATGGGTGCACCAAGGGATCCAGGGAGGATGGTGGGGTGTGGGATGGGTGGTGGGTGCATGGGGGGACAGCAGGATGAGTGCTGGGAGGTCCTGGGGGACACAGGGGGTGCAGGGTGGGGGATGAACGGGGGACACACAGAGGGGTGCAGAGTGGGTACTGGGGCAGGCACAGTGCAATGGGGGACACAAGGGGTGCAGAGTGGGTGATGGAGGATGCAGAAGGACACAGAGGGATGCTGGATGGGTGCTGGGGGGTGAATGGGGGGACAGAGAGGGATGCTGGAGGGGTGCTGGGGGATGCAGGAGAGCACAGAGGGGTGCAGAGAGCATGCACAGTGCGTGGGGGAACACAGGGGGTGCAGAATGGGGGATGAATGGGGGACACACAGAGGGGTGCAGGGTGGCTGCAGGGGGGTGGAAGTTTTGGGGCGTGTGGGGAGGTATGAGGGGCCCAGTGAGCGCAGGGGGGAAGGAAGGCATAGCAGGGATCTGGGGGTGCAGGAGGGATGCGGGGGGATTGGGGGGTGCAGGAGGCATGCAGGCTGGAGGGGATGGGGGGTGCAGGAGGGGCACACAGAGTGTGCAGGGGGAGATGGGGAGGTGTGGGGGTGCAGGGGGGATGTGGAGGTGCAGGAGGGGATGCAGGCTGGACAGGGGGGCAGCAGGAGATGTGGGGTGCTGGGAGGGTGCAGGCAGGAATGCAGGCTGGCTGCACAGTTCTTGACAAGGAGGATGGGGGAGATTTGGGGGTGCAGGGGGGAGTGCAGTTGGGTGGCAGTACAAGGAATAATGGGGGGATGGAGGCTGAACTGGAGGGGAACAGGGAAGATCTGGGGGTGCAGAGGGGATGCAGGGTGAACAGGGGCTGCACGGGGACATTTGGGGTGCAGAGAAGATGCAGGCTGGATGGGGTGCAGGGGAATGCAGGCCAGGGGAGTGAGGTAGGGTGGGGTGCAGTGGAGGATGCAGTAGGTGCTGTGAGCTGGATGAGTGAGAAGTACAGGGGGTGATTTGTGGGTGCAAGAGGCATGCAGGATGGCTGGGGAGTGCAGGGGACGTGTGGGGGGCACGGGGGATGTAAGGTGCGGGACGGGCATTCCAGAGGAGGATGCAGAGGGGCTGTGGGGAGGTACAGGCTGGATGGGGGGACCGAGAATGTCGGGGTGCAAGGGGGACGCAGACCAGAGAGGGATGCAGTGGGGGATGCAGGGGGGGATGCGGGCACACGGGGACATTTGGGGCTGCAGGGGTGATGCGGGCTGGGTGGGGAGTGCAGGGGGCGTGCTGGGGGTGCAGGGGTGCGGGATGCAGATGCCGAGGAGGATGCAGGGGCGCGGGGACAGTGGGGAGGCCGGGGGCTGCGGGGAGGATGCGGGCAGGATGCGGGGGGCTGCGAGGTGGCGGGAGGGTCCGCAGGAGCCGGGCTGGGGGGTCCCGGGGCCTGAGCGGCGGAGGAAGCGCTGAGTCAGCCGGGGGGGCTCGGGGGGGGTCACGCACCTTCGTCCTCTCCCATAGGCTCGTCCCTCCAGGTGCAGCACAGCAGCATCAACCTCATGCAGGCGCGCAGCCGGCGCCGCGCCGCGCCGGGCCTGTGGCGGAGGCGGTGGCCGGGCCTGTGGCGGAGGCGGTGGCCGGGCCTGTGGCGGTCCCCGCGCGGGCGCAGCCCCGGTCGGGCCCCCCCGGCCCTGCCGCTGCCGCTGCGGCTCCGGGCGGCACCGCGGCGCCTGCACCGCGCCTGCGCGGCCCGAGCGGGGCGGGGCCGCGGGAGCACGGGGCGGGGCCGGGGCGGGGCCGGGCGGGTCGGAGCAGGGGCGGGACCAGTGTGGGTGTGGCCCGGTGGGCGTGGTCTGCAGGGACTGGCGATGAATGGTCGCTGTCGGGGCCGGGGGCGAGGCTCGGGCTGCGCCATCGGGCCCGGGGGGATGCGCGGTTCGCGGGCCCATGGTGCCGTCCTCTCACCCTCCCCTGGCCATCACGGGTGTCCCTACACTCCGCGGTGTCCCCAGCTATGCCAGGCCAGCCCCATGTGCAGGGCACGGGTGTCGCCACACCCACTACTGGCCATCACGGGTGTCCCCTCGTGCCCCAGGCCGTCACTGTGGTCAGGGCGCAGGCGTTCCCATTTGCTCCGGGATGTCACCGTGGGGCATCACATGGGTGTCTCTCTCATTTCCCTCGCTGTCACCACGGGATAGAGCACGGACATCTCCCTGCATCCCCGGGCCACCACCATGGCAAGGAGCATGGACCTTATCCTGGCTCCCGGGCTTGTAACTGTGGGATAGGTTATGGATGTCCCCTTCATTCCCTGCAGTGTTACCATGGGATGGCACATGGATGGCACATGGATGTCACCCCCTGGGATGTCACCAAGGGCAGGCACAGCCTCCTTGGTCCTCAAGCTGTCACCGCGGCACAAGAAATTTTCTTGCACCCCCAGGCCCCCACGGTGAGTCAGAGCAAAGACCTTTTAATGGGTTCTGAGGCTGGCACACTAGGACAGGGCAGAGATGTCCCCAACACCTCAGGCCAGGGCACAGACCGCCCCTGGGACCCTGGCTTGTCACTGTGGGAAAAGGCAGAGGCGACCCCTAGAGCCAAAGCTGTCCCCCCGCCCCTCCCGTGTGTCCCAGCGCTGTTACCACGCACTGGGACAAGCAGCAGCCCTGTAGCAAGGACCCAGCACGTTTCCAGGCTGGTGCAGTGCCACGGGCTGGGGTGAGCCCCTGCATCATTGCCACCACCACGGAGACGGGTCACGAACGTGGGACACAGGTTGGAGCCAGAATCCTTTAAAAACTTGTCCTTTATTAGTCTGACAGAAGCGAGTCCCTCTGTATAGGGCGTCCCACCCAGTTATAGCAAAGTGAGCAACGTGAAGGGACTGAGCCCCTCCTGCCCGCGGCCCCCCCAAACCGAGGGGAGCGCGGGGACTGGGGTGGGGGCCAGGCTGACGGGGCCATCCCTCCCCGCACAGCCCCCGCCGCCGCCATCCCCTTCCCTCCCTCCCTCCCTCCCTCCCTCCCTTCCTCCAATGTGGGGTGCCCCTCATCCTGTGCCCCCCCGGGGGTCAGCTCTGGGGCTGGGGAGGGGCGCGACAGCCCAGCCCCCCCAAATCCCGCAGAGAGCGATAGCACCAAGGGGGACGGCTGCTCCCCGCAGTTTATTCCGCGCTCCCTGCCGGGACCGAGGGGCGGGGGGGGGCCGGGCGCTGCCGGGGAACGCGGGGTCCCTCCGGGGAACGCGGGGCCGGGCACGGCCCCGGGATGGACGGGGGGGTCCGGGGCTGGAGGAGAGGGTGTCTCAGCTTTGCTTCGGATTTACATTCTGGACCATGCAGTAGCACCAAAGTTCATGAGGTGATCGGTGACGGAGCGTTACTTCCGCTTCCTCCCGCAGTACTTCCCTGCCGCGCAGCCCGCGCCTGCACGGGGGATGCGGGTCAGCCCTCCCTGCAGCCCCGCAGCGATGGGACAGACACGGGGCGCAGGGATGGGACAGGCACGGGGCGCAGGGATGGGACAGGCACGGGGACAGCCTGCAGGAACGGGACAGGCACAGGGGGCACCCCGCAGGGATGGGACAGGCACGGGGGGCACCCCGCAGCGATGGGACAGACACGGGGCGCAGGGATGGGACAGGCACGGGGGGCACGACCGGCCACCGGAGCGGGGGACCGCACTCACCTCTAAAGCCCAGGGCACCCAGAGCTCCTCCGTAGGGCTTGGGGGGCTTCCCTGCAGCGGGAAGGCAGAGCAGGGTGAGCGGGACCCCCGCGGGTATACGCGCCCCCCCCCAAAACAGCCCGCGGGGCAATGGACACTCACCACCGAATCCCAGGCCGCCGACCCCACCTGAAAGGAGAGCGAAGCCCTCAGCGCCACGGGGCACCCCCATTTCTCTGCCCCACATCCCCCAGGGCAGCCCCCCGGCTGAGCCCAGCCCCCGGGGTCCCTCCCCGGCCCGTGGCCGTGTCCCCGTGAGCTGGCCAGGCACGGACACGGGCCCCGGGTGTGTGCTCGGGTGCCGAGCTGGCGGTGGTACCTGGAAATACCGGTGATACGCCGAAGCCGGGACCTCCAACGCCTGGGGAAAAAGCAACAGCCAGTGACAGCCGGTGACAGCAGTGCCACTCTAGCGTGGACTGGGAACAGCCTGGCTGGGATCCCTTGCTCACTCCAGGGACAGGAGCTGATGCAAAAGCCTCCGTCCCCACCCTGGCACCTCTCTGGCTTCCCAGTGCTCTCCCAGGCAGCCGGGTGCCCAGCAGGGAATGGCAGCAGCATGGGGACAGCAAGCGGGGACGAGTGTGGCAGGATAGGGGACACACTCCCACACCAGCCCCAAACTGCAGCACTCACCTGGCTGCAGCCCCCCAGCATCAAAACCTGCAGGTGGGTGAGCCCCAGTGAGGGTGGGGAGCGTGAGCACAGCCATGGGAATGTGAATGGGGACAGGCACTGGAGTCACTCCTCCAGCCCCTCTGGCTGTCCCTTACCTGGCTTGGGAGGTTTCCCAGCAGCTCCTGGATACAAGAGTCCTAAGTCAGAGGGGGGCACCAGTGCAGCCCCTGCCTGGACTCACTGCCCCAGGGCCACACCCAGACCCTTCAGGAGGGGTCCAGAGGGTCCTAGGAGGGACCTGCATCTCCACACGTTGGGGACAGGGTACAGTACCATCCCCTTTTCCCATGGCATGGGCAAGGCTGGGGCTATGGCCCTCAGTCCCTGCTCAACAATGGCAATTCCTTTGGATCACCCCCTGGGAACAGGGCAGGTGACAAACAGGTCAGGGGACAGTGACAGTGCAGGATGGGATTGTACTGTGAGACTGGGAGGGGACAGAAGTGACCCATAGATTCCCTTTCTTTTTCTTGGCTCTGCCAGCACTCTGCTGCTGCTGCTGCTGCTCCCTGCAGCCCAGCCCTGGGGAGCCCCACACTGGGCCCAGCATCACTCACCAAGGCCACCAACTCCGAGCCCACCGACTCCAAGGCCACCTACAAGAGTAACCCGGGTGAGCACCAGCAGGGACAGACAGTGTCCCCAGTGTCTGACCCACTCCTCAGCCACTCCCAAGTGTGCTCATCCTTTCTCGGGCAGCCCCGCTCCCCCTGTGCCCAGAGGGAGCATCCCTCCAGCTCCACCCCTGGAGGGGAGCATCCTTCTGCCTGCACATCCCCACTGCCTGGCCTCAGCTCCTGCCAGCACTTACCTGGGAGGCCACCAACCCCTGGGACTCCAACCCCAGGAACACCTGCCAGAGAGACACCATTAACACCTGTCCCCCACAGCCTGGCACCCCCAGCTTGGAGCACTCCAGCCACTGCCCAGCCTGCTGGGGTGGCCCTGGCACCCATGCTGGGGGTCCCCAGCACCCATCTCCCAGTACCCAGAGGGGCTTCAGCACGAAGGAGAAAACTGTCCTCAGCGAGTCCAGGGCAGAGGGTACAGGTGGCACTTTGCACCCATGGGTGACAGCACACCACTTCCCACGCCTGGGCCATCGGGGCAAAGTGGGCATGCAGGGGGCAGGAAGAGAGGTCAGTACCCCGATGGCCACAGGAGAAGGATGCCCAGGGACAGTCTGAGGTGGCCCTGGGGCAGGGGGCAGGGGGCAGGGGGCAGGGGGCAGGGGTACGTACCGAATTTGGGAGGTTTAGCACCAGGCTGCACCCCTACTTGGGGGATGCCTGCAAAGTGAGGACACCATGGTTAGGACAGTGACCCCCACCCCGTCTCATGTGCCACCACCCTCGATCCCACCCGCATCCCTCCCTGCCACCCCTTCATGTGGCTTGGTGGCTTTTAGCATTCCTAGCCACCACTATCCCCAGGCAGGGTGGGACAAAGCACGTACCTGCCCCAGGAAGGATGCCAGTTCCAGGCACTCCCACCCCTGGCACCAAGCCGGGCACGCCACCAACACCGGGTGTCACTCCGGGCACTCCGCCCACGCCAGGCACCACCCCTGGCACCCCTCCAACCCCGGCACCTGTGGGAGAGGGGTGAGAGATCCCGTGCTCGTGTGGGATCATGTGCCAGGCCTGGGTGCCTGTGCCCAGCATCCCCTGCACCGGTCAGAGCCACACCAGGGCTGGTAGGGAGCCTGAGGGGCTCCCCAGGCTGACTCACCAAATTTGGCTGCCTTGGCTGCTGCTTTGGCTGCTGCTGCTGGACCTCCAACACCTGGGCAGAGACAGCAAGGGGGGTCAGACCCTGGGGAGGCCTCACAGCAAACCTGGGCAGAGCCCATCCCTCAGGCCTTGTCTGCAGTCCCCCAGGGACACTGCTGAAGTTTTCCTCAAGCCTGTCCTGCCCCCAGAACTGCCACCACACCAGCCAGGCTGCTCTCACCCTCGCCTTCCTCCTCCTCACCTGGGACACCTCCAACACCAGGAACCAGGCCACCCACACCAGGAACCAGGCCACCTACTCCAGGAACCAGGCCACCTACTCCAGGAACCAGGCCACCCACACTGGGAGCCAGGCCACCTGCTCCTGCAAGGAGAAAGAGAAGGACTGGGCTTCAGCTTGGGAGGAAATGTGGAAGGAGTTGGATGAGAAAGTATGGCAGGCTGGGGGGAGTGGGTGGGTGGATGGACTATGACATGGATATGTGGCTCGATGAGGACTGGTTGAAATGATGGTAGGATGGATGAATGGTTGGATGGATAGTGAGATGGATGAACAAATGGATGCTCAGATGGACAGACGGATGGAGGGGTGGTGAGATGGATGTGTGGATGGATGGATATGTGGATGCATGTGGAGTGACTGAATAGATAAGTAGAAAAGGTACAGATGGATAGATGGACAGAGAAGGGGACAGATGGACACTGAGGTGGTGGTCTTGTGTCTGGGTGGGCAGAATGGGGTATGGATGGACCAGTATGAGAAGATGGTGAACTTGGACGCTCCACAGGGCTCAGCTCACTGGACAGCAGCCCTGACACAGCCAGAACCTCATCCCACATTCAGCCCTTCAGGGAGCTTGTCCCTCACCCTGACCCCCAAGGACCCCAGGCACTGCTGGGCCTCAACTCCGACAGGGGAGCAGCTTGGGGTGGGGATGAGCAGGAGACAGGACACGTGGGATAACCCCAGAGAGATCCCAGCTTACCGTACTTGGCTGCTTTGGCGGCTGCTTTGGCAGCGGCTGCCGGACCTCCTGGGGACAGGGAGTGAGAGGGTCAGGAACGCGTCCCACCAGCACTGCTGGGGACATCCGAGCATCCCTTGGGCACCATCTCACCTGGAACGCCAACCCCAGGAACCAGACCGGGCACACCAACACCTGGCACACCCACTCCGGGCACGCCAACACCAGGAACGCCAACACCGGGAATGCCAACACCAGGAACACCAACACCAGGAACACCAACACCGGGAACGCGTCCTGCTCCTGCAGAGAGGTTCAGGGATGTGTCCGAGGGGAAAGACTCCTCAGCAGGAATCCCACTGACCTCCACAGCACTGGGGTGTCCCCACCTCTCCTGTGTGCCAACACACCTCCTCCCTCCCTGGGACAGCTGATGGTGACGGTGCTGACAGTGGTGACTCACCGATCGCCGCTGCTTTCGCTGCAGCCTTGGCTGCGGCCGCTGCTGCTGGGCCACCAACTGCGGGGACACAAGGGACACAGTCAGGGACCTGCTGAGGCCAGGATCCCATCAGCGGCTGCTGACAGCCCATCTGCTCACCTCCAACACCGGGAACAGCACCAGGAACCCCAGGAACGCCAGGAACGCCTGGAACACCAGGGACACCGGGAACTCCAGGAACACCAGGAACGCCAGCGATGCCAGGAATGCCAGCTCCTGCAGGGAGCAAGATGGGAGAAGTCAGATCTGGCTGCAGCAACAGCTGAAAGGTTGGGCCTGTTCCGGCTCTGCCTCATAATCATGGCTGGGAGAGCAGAGCATCCACAGCCACTTCCAGGAGAGACCCAAGCAGGGCAGGAGAGGGATCAGTTCTGTGTCTTGCAAGACCCAGTGGGATGCATTACAGGGTCCTACCATGTTTTGCAGAGCAGTGACCCTGGGCCCCTCGCAGCACATACCGTACTTAGCTGCCTTTGCTGCTGCTGCTGCCGATGGCACCCCTGGGGACAAGGGAGACACAGACCCTCAGCCACCATGGCCCTGCAGAGCTGGGCCACGGGGACAGGGCTCCTGGAACAGTCACCTGCCACCCCAGGGACACCTCCGACACCGGGCACTGCACCGGGGACACCTCCGACACCGGGCACCAAGCCAGGGACACCTCCAACTCCGGGCACGAGGCCGGGGACGCCGCCCACACCGACACCGGGAACGCCGGCGCCTGCGGGAACACGAGGGGACAGATCAGAGCTGGCTGCAGCAAGAGGTCAGTGCTGGCACCTGCCATGGCTCGGTGTCACCATGGTGCCCCAGAGAGTGGAGTATCCATGGCCTCATGCAGGACAGACCCCAGCAGGGCAGGGCAGGGCAGGGATCAGCCCCGTGACTCCGCCAGCAATTGCCTGGAAGTCACCAGCACAGGGAGCACAATGACCCTCATCCTCACAGGGCCCAAGCTGCTCCTTGTCATAGGGACATCAAGCCTTGCAGCCAGACAGGCCATGGAGGAGCTTTGTCCTCATGGGACCCTGCTCAGCAGGGCCATCACAGCACAGAGCAACCTCTACTGAGTTCCTGCCTGAACTCCTGAATCCCATCCTTCCCTGGGCATGCAGAGGGATTTTTACTACAAAGTAAGGAAGAGAAATGGAAGAGAGGGGGCATCAGTGATTCAACCATCAAAGGAGAGTTGCCATTGACCATGGCTCCTCCTGGGGACTCCCAGGGCTCTGCAGTGAAGATGGAGGAGAAGGTCCTGGGACCTGGCTAGGTACCAACTGGCTAGGAACCTCTCTGCCTTTTGGAGCGGCACCTGGAAGCCAGTCCTGCATGGAACCTCAGGGCCAGTTCTCCATGTGCACAAGCTCCAGCTTGGTGTGGTTATGGCTGCTGGACACTTGAGTCTTGCTAGACCCAGTTGGATGCACTTGATGCATCCCAACATTCAACCACAGTTCGGAGGACATTGACCCTAGGGAGGAGTTTCTCTGCCAGGAATCTCTGTCCTAATGGCACCAGCACTGAACCCATGGGTAGCAGACATTGCATCAGGTGGAAAACAGAATTGGTATAAAATCCAAGAATTCAGTTAAATCTAAAACCATGAATTGGGGCTCATCGTTCACTTCCACAGAGCAGCCTGGAGAAACCCTGGAGAGGGAGAAGGTCCAGCCCTGCAGATGGAGCCAGGCCCAGGAAGAGCAGCCAGGAGCTGGGCTGAGCATTCCCCATTTCCCCTCAGGAGCGCTCCCAGGGGACAGCCCGAGGCTGGGCACCCCCGTGTGTCAGGGCAGGGCGGGCAGGGTCCCGGGGGCTGGGGCCCCTCGCAGCACATACCGTACTTAGCTGCCTTTGCTGCTGCTGCTGCCGACGGCACCCCTGGGGACAAGGGAGACACAGACCCTCAGCCACCATGGCCCTGCAGAGCTGGGCCACAGGGACAGGGCTCCTGGAACAGTCACCTGCCACCCCAGGGACACCTCCGACACCGGGCACTGCACCGGGGACACCTCCGACACCGGGCACCAAGCCAGGGACACCTCCAACTCCGGGCACGAGGCCGGGGACGCCGCCCACACCGACACCGGGAACGCCGGCGCCTGCGGGAACACGAGGGGACAGATCAGAGCTGGCTGCAGCAAGAGGTCAGTGCTGGCACCTGCCATGGCTTGGTGTCACCATGGTGCCCCAGAGAGTGGAGCATCTATGGCCTCATGCAGGACAGACCCCAGCAGGGCAGGGCAGGGCAGGGATCAGCCCCGTGACTCCGCCAGCAATTGCCTGGAAGTCACCAGCACAGGGAGCACAATGACCCTCATCCTCACAGGGCCCAAGCTGCTCCTTGTCATAAGGACATCAAGCCTTGCAGCCAGACAGGCCATGGAGGAGAAGTGGCTGGATCTCCCAGCAGGTGTCTGGGGGGGTACTGGTCTGACTGGGGAGCTGACAGCCTGGACATTCTGGCACACATCAGTGCCACATCAACAAGCACCAGGTCACTCTTCAAAGGACTGAATATCGGAGGGCTTTGTCCTGATGGGGCCCTGTTCAGCAGGGCCACCACAGCACAGAGCAAGCACTGCTGAGTTCCTGCCTGAATTCCTGGATCCCATCCTTCCGTGGGCATGTAGAAGGATTTTTTCTACAAATTATAGAAGCGAGGGGCAACAGTGGTTTAACCCTGAAAGGAGAGCTGCCATTCGACATGGCTCCTTGTGGAGATTCCCAGAGCTTCACAGTAACAATGAAAGAGAAGGTCTTGGGACGTGGCAATTTAAATTCTGGCTCTGTCTTTTGGAGAAGAACATGGACCCCCAATGGAGTGTGAAATCTCAGGGCCAGTAGTGCCTCCTCCCTTGGCCCAAGCTCCAGACTGCCCTGCTGCTTGGCCATGACCCTTGGCCCCACTGTAGCTCCTTGGGGCTGGTTATACCTGATGGATCCCACTATCCCACCACATTTAGGAGGACAGTAACCCTGGGAAGGGCCACTCTGCCAGGAATCTCTGCCCTAATGGCAGCAACACTGAGCCCTTCAGCAGCAGATCCTGCAACAGGTCAGCAGCTGGAAATGCATTTGATACAAAATCCAAGAATTCAGTTAAATCTAAAACCATGAATTGGGGCTCATCGTTCACTTCCACAGAGCAGCCTGGAGAAACCCTGGAGAGGGAGAAGGTCCAGCCCTGCAGTTGGAACCCCAGGCCCAGGAAGAGCAGCCAGGAGCTGGGCTGAGCATTCCCCATTTCCCCTCAGGAGCGCTCCCAGGGGACAGCCCGAGGCTGGGCACCCCCGTGTGTCAGGGCAGGGCGGGCAGGGTCCCGGGGGCTGGGGCCCCTCGCAGCACATACCGTACTTAGCTGCCTTTGCTGCTGCTGCTGCTGACGGCACCCCTGGGGACAAGGGAGACACAGACCCTCAGCCACCATGGCCCTGCAGAGCTGGGCCACGGGGACAGGGCTCCTGGAACAGTCACCTGCCACCCCAGGGACACCTCCGACACCGGGCACTGCACCGGGGACACCTCCGACACCGGGCACCAAGCCAGGGACACCTCCAACTCCGGGCACGAGGCCGGGGACGCCGCCCACACCGACACCGGGAACGCCGGCGCCTGCGGGAACACGAGGGGACAGATCAGAGCTGGCTGCAGCAAGAGGTCAGTGCTGGCACCTGCCATGGCTCGGTGTCACCATGGTGCCCCAGAGAGTGGAGTATCCATGGCCTCATGCAGGACAGACCCCAGCAGGGCAGGGCAGGGCAGGGATCAGCCCCGTGACTCCGCCAGCAATTGCCTGGAAGTCACCAGCACAGGGAGCACAATGACCCTCATCCTCACAGGGCCCAAGCTGCTCCTTGTCATAGGGACATCAAGCCTTGCAGCCAGACAGGCCATGGAGGAGCTTTGTCCTCATGGGACCCTGCTCAGCAGGGCCATCACAGCACAGAGCAACCTCTACTGAGTTCCTGCCTGAACTCCTGAATCCCATCCTTCCCTGGGCATGCAGAGGGATTTTTACTACAAAGTAAGGAAGAGAAATGGAAGAGAGGGGGCATCAGTGATTCAACCATCAAAGGAGAGTTGCCATTGACCATGGCTCCTCCTGGGGACTCCCAGGGCTCTGCAGTGAAGATGGAGGAGAAGGTCCTGGGACCTGGCTAGGTACCAACTGGCTAGGAACCTCTCTGCCTTTTGGAGCGGCACCTGGAAGCCAGTCCTGCATGGAACCTCAGGGCCAGTTCTGCCTCCTTCCTTGGCCCAAGCTCAAGGTGACTCTGCTCTTTGGCTGTGTCCCTCATCTCCAGTGAGCTCCTTGGGGCTGGTTATACCTGATGGATCCCACCATCCCAGCAATTCCACCACAGTTTGGAGGAAAGTAACCCTGGGCAAGGGCCCCTCTGCCAGGAATCCATGCCCTAATGGCAGAGGCACTGAACCCTTGGGCAGCAGAACTTTTGTCAGGTCTGCTGCTGTAAACGAGATTTTGCATGAAATCCAAGAATTCAGATGAGTCCAAAGCCTTGATTTAGGCTCATCATTCACTTTCACAGAGCAGCCTGGAGAAACCCTGGAGAGGGAGAAGGTCCAGCCCTGCAGATGGAGCCAGGCCCAGGAAGAGCAGCCAGGAGCTGGGCTGAGCATTCCCCATTTCCCCTCAGGAGCGCTCCCAGGGGACAGCCCGAGGCTGGGCACCCCCATGTGTCAGGGCAGGGCGGGCAGGGTCCCGGGGGCTGGGGCCCCTCGCAGCACATACCGTACTTAGCTGCCTTTGCTGCTGCTGCTGCCGACGGCACCCCTGGGGACAAGGGAGACACAGACCCTCAGCCACCATGGCCCTGCAGAGCTGGGCCACGGGGACAGGGCTCCTGGAACAGTCACCTGCCACCCCAGGGACACCTCCGACACCGGGCACTGCACCGGGGACACCTCCGACACCGGGCACCAAGCCAGGGACACCTCCAACTCCGGGCACGAGGCCGGGGACGCCGCCCACACCGACACCGGGAACGCCGGCGCCTGCGGGAACACGAGGGGACAGATCAGAGCTGGCTGCAGCAAGAGGTCAGTGCTGGCACCTGCCATGGCTCGGTGTCACCATGGTGCCCTAGAGAGTGGAGTATCCATGGCCTCATGCAGGACAGACCCCAGCAGGGCAGGGATCAGCCCCAGTTGGATGTGCTTCTGAACACAGGCAAGTTTCTGGAGGATGTTGACCCTGGGCAAGGGCCCCTCTGCCAGGAATTTCTGCCCTAATGGCAGCAACACTGAGCCCTTGGGCAGCAGATCCTACTGCTGGGATTGGATTTGGTACAAAATCCAAGAATTCAGTTAAATCTAAAACCATGAATTGGGGCTCATCGTTCGCTTCCACAGAGCAGCCTGGAGAAACCCTGGAGAGGGAGAAGGTCCAGCCCTGCAGTTGGAACCCCAGGCCCAGGAAGAGCAGCCAGGAGCTGGGCTGAGCATTCCCCATTTCCCCTCAGGAGCGCTCCCAGGGGACAGCCCGAGGCTGGGCACCCCCGTGTGTCAGGGCAGGGCGGGCAGGGTCCCGGGGGCTGGGGCCCCTCGCAGCACATACCGTACTTAGCTGCCTTTGCTGCTGCTGCTGCTGACGGCACCCCTGGGGACAAGGGAGACACAGACCCTCAGCCACCATGGCCCTGCAGAGCCGGGCCACGGGGACAGGGCTCCTGGAACAGTCACCTGCCACCCCAGGGACACCTCCGACACCGGGCACCAAGCCAGGGACACCTCCGACACCGGGCACCAATCCAGGGACACCTCCGACTCCGGGCACTGCCCCTGGACCTGGAGGGAAGCAGAGTAGTCAAATCCTCAACAAACACCCCACATGGTCTGTCCCAGGGTCACAGGAGTCTCTCTTGGGCACCAGCTCTGTGGTGGGCTCCTCACTCATCCTAAAGCAGCTCCTCAGGGTACCTGGGATCTTCTTGGGAATTTTATTCCCAGCTCCTTACACTCATCAGGGGCCTGGCTACCCAGGATGTTGGGGACTCCCAGGGTCCCCCAAGGCTGTGGTTACACATCCCAGCTGCCTCAGAGCTGGCACGTTTTCCCTAAATGCTCCAATGTGTGATTTGCTCCTCACTTTTCTCCCACGGAGCAGTCAAACAGGGAGCAGTGGAAATCTGCATCACCAGGAGCATCCCTCACTAGGGAAGGACAGCTCAGCACAAACACCAAGTCCCGGCCACTCCGCTGGCACCTGGGAGAGCAAACCCACATCTCATGGAGAGACTGCATGTGATGGGCATGCTCTGCTCCCTGCCAGGCTGCTGCATCCCGAGGGGCCCTCAGCCCTTCATCACTGCTGGAAAAGCTGCTGGAGCCGGGACAGGGGCAGGGAGAGCACCCCATAGAATGGGATAGGGGCTGCTGGGGCAGCTGTGGAGCCGCACAGCCCCTGGCATCGATGCACGGCTCTTCCCTGTCCCGAGATGTGTCCGAGGCAGCAGGAACTCACCAAAAGCTCCCGCCTTTGCCGCTGCCTTCGCCGCTGCTGCCGCTGCTGCCGGTCCTCCAACTGCTGGGATAGTGGGAGGTAGTCAGGGATGTGGGATAAGGGAAGGAGACCCTCCCCGAGCCCCAGGGCAGAGCCCTCTCATCGCCTCACCTCCAACTCCTGGGACACCGCCGATGCCAACACCAGGTGCAACTCCTGGGATGCCGCCAACGCCGGGCAAGACCCCGGCTCCTGCCGCAGGGGACAGCATGGTCAGCGGGGACACAGGGACACAGCCAGCATCCCCGGGGCTGGAAGGGAGGGAGCTGGGACAGGGAGCAGCTCCCTGCTGGGGAGATGGGTGGTGTTTGTGCTGCAGAGGGCGACTCACCAAGTTTTGCTGCTGCCTTCGCTGCTGCTGCCTGCGCTCCAACCCCTGCGAAGGGACACAGGCACTGAGCCACCAAGGTCCTGGCACCATTCCACCTCAGCTCCCCCACCCCACAGGGACCCTGGGGACCAGTCACTCCTGCCAGCATCTGTCCCCCTCTGCTGTGGGAGGTGCTGCTCCCGTGTGGGCTGTCCCTGCAGGCCGCAGGCAGCCGGGCAGTGCCCAACACCCATCCAGGGCCAGCAAGGGGACAGGGTGCGAGTTCCCCTGCCATGCCCGTGCCACTCCCCACCCTGGGGCTGCGGGGTCCAGCGTACCTGTCCCGGTGGGGTATCCTGCCTTTCCTGCCAGGAGGCCGGCTCCTATCCCGCCAGGCCTGAGGCCTGCAATCACAACACAGCGGTAGAGCCACGTCAGGCACCACCCAGGGGAAGGAGAATGAGACAGACGGAGCAGCCTCCTTGGATCTCCTGCCCCCAGCACCACAGCATGCGAGGGGATGCCAAAGCCAGCTCCTCCCCACTTGAGATCCCAGTTCAAACATCCCTGCCTGAAGCTGGAGTGGCTCAGGACATATCCTATGGATTAACAGCTCCCAGGAATGCCAGGAGAGTTGAGTTCCCAGGCTGGTCCACAGCCACCATGGGCAAGGCATGAGGTCCCCAGTGGACCACCTCGCTCTGGGAGCAGGATATCCCTCACACCGCCCTGAGGGTCAGTGGCCACGAGGTCACGGTGGCAACCACAAGGTCGGTGGAGCCACGAGGAGTGAGGACACAAGCACTCACCATGGGGCAGCTTACCATTGGTGTAGGGCAGTCCATAGCCACCTGGGGATGAGAGGAGGGGAGAGGAGAGAAGGGGGGTTAGCACCTGGCTGCTGCTGGCCCTGTCCCCTCTGCCCCATGGTGTGGCCCCACTCTGCCAGGGCCCTGCAGCACCGGCCCAGGGGCTCCGTCCGTTTGTGACAGTGAATCCTCCGGGATACAAACCCCCGTGCTGGAGCTGGGCCAGGAGATGCTGTTCTCCCTCACCTTGGAAGCAGTGACTGAAGGAGCCGCCCCTCTGAGCCCAGGCCGAGGGCTGTGGCGCCTGGAGCTGTTGTGCAGGAGCCTCCCATGACCCCGCTCCAGCGAGGGGTCCCGCGGGAGCCCCGCGGCAAGAGCTGTACCCAGCTGGCTGCACCCTGGCCAGCTCCGGAGGAAAGGCTTTAATTGGAATCAGGGCTTGGGAGCCTCGGCTGAAACGTGACCTCATTAGGAGGTCGGTGTGAAGGGATGGGGAGGGATTATGGGCTGGGACATTGTGGCCAGGGAAATGTCTCCTTGCGAAAGAGCCGGATCCCGGCACTCGGAGTGGCGGGGATGCCCCTGACTCAGCAGGGACCGTGGGCTTGGCACGGGGACAGCAGTTCCCAGCTCCCATCACTGCTGGCTGCAGCCCGAGGCCATGAGCTGCACAGGGTGGGGGGTGCCTCCAGCAAGGAGGCCATGGGCAGGGATGTGGCTGCCTGCAGCCAGGATGGAATTACTCATGGCACAGCATCTCTTTGAGCACTGGACTCCATCCCCTCCCAGCAGCCAGCATGTGGGGACCAGATTTCCTTCCATCCTGCCAGGCAATCCCATGGTGTCCCACATCAGCACAGTGGTGCTGGCAGGCAGAGGCTCACAGTGAGCTGTGCCCCACCTTGAGGGCCACCCTTGCCCATCCAGGGACACCTTATCAGCACCTTGCTCACCCTAAAGCTGGGAAAGGGGTGACACACATGGAGGTGACTCCAAGGGCCAGAAGTCTAAGCCTTGGTTCTCCAAGGGTTTTGCTGAGTCCAAGTCCAGATCCCCACCACCCCCAGCTGGATGGGAAGGCAGCCCCTGCCCTGGGACTGTGTCCATGGGAATGTCACCAGCACTGCCAGCAGGCTCAGGCCCTGCACACACTGGGGCTCTGCATAAACTGATGTCACCCAAGCACAGCTGGACACTGGGGAGTGGTCCCCATCCCTACAGCATCAATGGGACCCTGACCTCAGCCACAACTTCAGACTGAGCCTCCAGTGAGGTGAGTGACCCCAGGGCCACCTCCTGAGTGGGACAGCTCAGAAGGAAGTCATCTAAAGAGATGATTTTCCACTGAAATGTTGTTTGTCCCATTGTCCCTCTTCCCCTCTCAACCTGGACCTACTGCAGCAGGGACAGTGCAGGGGACAGCCCATGTGTGGCATCCCCAGATCCACCCACAGCATCAAGGCAAGAGCCTCCACAGCCAGCAGCACAGGCTGTCCTTGCACTGCCAGCCCTGAGCCCTCAGAGGTGACAAACTAGCATCCCCCAGCACCCCAGGAAGGTCTGGAGACATCTCCATGGTCCTGGTCCTGTCCTGGGGCTGGGATCTAGACGGGGTCCACAGGCAGCAGGGCTGAGGCTCCTTAAGGATCATAACTCTGCTCCAGTGCAGGAAACAGGAGTGGGCCAGGATCCCTGCTGCTGCCTGTGGCCACAGACCCTGCTGGGGGGAAGCCAGCAGAGCTGCTGGGGCTGGAGCTGGGCTGGGATGTGCTGGGGCTGGAGCTGGGCTGGGATGTGCTGGGCTGGGATGTGCTGCCTGGGGTGGGCTCCTCTCACCGAGGCTCTCCTTCCTCCAGCAACTTGTTTGGATGCATGGGGATGGGGGCCCTGCCTGCATGGGGCTGCCCTCCTCCTCAGGATGCACTGGGGAGCAGTCAGGTGGCAGCATGGCCCCTGGAGGGCACAGAACCTGCCACTGTCCCTCCATGGACACGGCTGCCTGGGGACAGGCAGAGCTGGCACCTGGCCCAGGGCTGGGAGGGGAAGGTGCCCAGAGCAGCGTGGGTTGGGAAAGGGGTGCTGAGCTCCCCCAGGCTGACCTGGGCTGGGGCTGAGCCCTGTCCAGGTGAGCCATGGGGACAGACATCTGCCTGGAGCCTGCAGGCGGCCTCAGCTACAGCTCCTTGAGCCAGGACACCTGGCCCAGGTGAATGCCAGGCCCAACCCCAGGAGCCACAGAAACCAGACTGTCCCTGCAAGGGCTGTGCCTTGTGCCAGCAGGAGCTGGCAGGGACATCCCAGGGTGGCCTGGCCTAGAGCATGTCCCCAGAACGTGACCCTTCCTACCTTACAGCAGCCGGGGGAGGCACAGAGGCACAGCACTGTCCACACAAGCGGGGGCAATGCTCAGGCATCACCCCAGGAGCTGCCTGGGGGTGCCACAGGCAGGGCACAGCAGAGCCCCGGGTGCTATCCTTCTGTCCCAGGGCCAGAACAGGCACTGCCAGCTCTGGGGCACTGCAGGCACTGTGCCTCAGCCCCGGGGAACGGCGGGTCCTCCTCCTGACTGCTGGGGATCCTTCACCCACAGTGAAGCCGCTCTGCTGGCTGTGGAGCTTACCTGGGAGCTTAGGAGCTTTGATGGGATAACCCAGAGGGACACCGGGCTGCTGACCTCCAAAACCTCCCAGTCCTGCAAACCAACAGCAGACGCTCACCTGGAGCCCGCGCCACAGCTGCCACCAGTCCCGGAGGGAAGGGGGTGCCCCAGGGCACCCTGGCAGAGAAGAGTGGGTGGCTTGGGAAGCCCTGAGGCATCTTCTGGTGTGGGGAGACCATGGCTGTGAGGAAGAGGCTTGGGAAGGAAGAGAAGGACAGGCAAGAGAGATGGGACACTCACCAGGAATTCCTCCAAAGGCTCCAGCACCTAAAAGGAAACACAAAGACACCTGTGTGAGCCCTGGGTTGCTCCTAGAGGCCCAAATTAACCTAAGTGGATTCACTGCCAAGTGCCCTGTAGGGCTGTGATCCCAAAGGCTGGGCTGGGGTGCCAAGCTGGAGCCAGCCCTGAACCAACCCCAGTGTTCCAAGGGGATGAGGGGACGTACCTGGGGCTTTAGGCTTGACTCCAGCTCCAGTGGGGACTCCGGGCAGCACTCCCACGCCAGGGAAACGAACACCTGGAGCAGAGACCAGAGGGGTGAGCTGGGGCCTCACTGGGGATGTTACTGGTACCCAAGACCCCCACAGCCAGCTTCCAAATCCCTGTCACCAATAGCACCCTCATCCTTGGGGTCTTGCTGGCACTGCCCTGTGCCAGCTGCCTGCACCTCCAGCTGCCAGGAGGGGTTTGCTCCAGGCCTGGAGCTGCCTGTGGAACAGACTGGGAGCCTGCAGGGGACATGGCACTCAAGAGGGGTCCCACTGGTGACAGCAAAGCCCCAGCCAGGCCTGGGCAGTGCTCTCTGCCCTGCTGATGCTCGGTGGCCTGGGGCCAGACAGGGCTCTCGAGCCCTCCAGGGCAGCAGACAGTCTTGTGGCCTTGGAATCGTTTGGGTTGGATTTTTGGGTTTTGAGTTTCCTTTTGGTTTGGGGTTCTTTTTCCCCTTCTTACAAATGTCTTTCATTATAACTTGAGCATTTTCAGACATGGAAAAGACATTCCTGACCAGCAACACACTTCGGACAGTGTCGAAACATCTTGTTTTCACAAGTTTTCCTCCCCCAAATTACTTTGCACTGAGGAATTCCTCTCTCCCGCCACCTCCCCCTCCTTCCCTCGGCCAGCCCTGGTGGCTGTGCCAGCTCCTCTCCCAGCGCTGGTGCTGTCTGCCCCCGCCACGCTTGGCACGGGATGGAGCTGCCGGGTCCCCCCATGCCTTTGACACAGTGGAAATGTCACTGTAGCCTCAGCCAGGGGGTTTGGAAGCTGTGGGGAGCAGGAGGACGCAGGCAGGCAGCAGGGCAGGGTGCTCTCCCCACAAGGGTGCTGGCAGGGTGGGAACCCCTCGGAGCTGGGGTGCTGCTGGCAGGGTGGGGAACCCCTCAGAGCTGGGGTGCTGCTGGCAGGGTGGGGAACCCCTCGGAGCTGGGGTGCTGCTGGCAGGGTGGGGAACCCCTCGGAGCTGGGGTGCTGCTGGCAGGGCGGGGAACCCCTCAGAGGTCGGGTGCTGACGGTGGGGTGGGCATCCCCAGCTCACCTGCGCCGGGGAGCACGCCGCCCGGAAAAGCTCCAGGAATCCCAGCACCTGCAGGCAAAAGAAATTCATGGATGAGGGACCGGATAGAATCGCTCCCCGCCCCGGCCCCGACGCCGGGGCCGTCACCTACCTGGTATTTTAGGGGGTTTCCCTGCCGCGCCAAGGCCGGGCTGCACCGCGCCTGGCACCACGGCACCTGCGGGCAGCAGAGAGCCCTGAGCCCCAGCCCGGCTCCTGCCCACCCCGGGGACAGCTCTGCCCCAGGCTCGGCTCTGCTGGGAGCGAGGGGTATTTCCTACCTGTGGAGACCCCGAGGCCACCAGGACCACCAATTCCACCCACGCCTCCAATGCCAGCACCTGGGGGCATTGGGAAGAGGGGTGTACCTGCGGCTGGCTGGAACGGTGCCAGAGAGGGGACAAGCTCAGGATGGCCCTTGGGGGGTGAAGGGGACACCCTGAGGCAGCCCCAGGGCTGGGTCCCCCATACTGGGCACAGGGACCAGGCAGTTGTGTGGTCTGTGCTCCTGGGGGCTCAGGTTTGGCCAATTCCCCACGCCTGGGACCCTCCGAGTCGCTGGGGAGCCCAGTGAGAGCATCAGCTCCTGCCCGCAGCCCTGGCTCCAGGGAAATCTGTCCTGGCCCAGAAGCCCAGGGGACACCCCTGGCAGCTGCCCGAGCCCACCTTGCCCAGACCCCCCCAGCACTCACCAGCTTTGGCTGCAGCCTTGAGCGCTGCAGCCGAGGCGGCTCCCGGGAACGCCGCCCCGGGGAAGGCTCCGGGGAACAAACCTGCAGCACCTGTGGGGAGAACAGCCAGCATCAGCACCCCTAAAAACCAGCTGCCCAGAGGGTGTCCTGCCCTCGCAGTGGGCACAGGGGCTGCTGAGCCATGGGGGCTGTGTGGCAGTGCCAGGGCTGGCGTTAGGCTGGGCAAGGTGGCGTTAGCAGGCATTGCCCTGTCGTGCATCCCCCAAATTCTCGCTCCCATCCACATCCCACCTGGCACACACACCTGACACCCCTGCAGTGGGTGCTGACACCCCTGCCTGCAGGCCCTGGCTGACCCTCTGCAGGCTCTGTCCCTCTGCTGCTGGCCCTGCAGGGACCCCAGGCGCCCCTCTCCTGCGGGGTTACCCCACTGTAGTTGATGTCATCATGCTGGGGGCCCTCGGGGCTGCCTGCTGGGTGCCTGTGCTCCCCCAGGTCTGGGAAGGGCACCCAGCCTAGATGGGGGAGAGCTGTGGAGATGGGGACAAGGGATGTGCTGTCCCCAAGGTGGGTCTCTGGGGACATCACCCCAGGGATGGCCCGGAGCAGGGGGGGACAGTGCTCAGTCAGTGCTCACCTGGCTGCAGGCCCAGGGGGCCGAGTCCCCCAAGTCCTCCGACCCCCCCAAGTCCTCCGACCCCTAGGAAGAGAAGCGGGGTGAGGTGGGAGGTGACCAGGCCCAGAGGGACAGAGGAGTCCCTGTGGCACCGTGGGGATGGGAGAACAGCCCAGGGACGGGCACAGGGATGGGTGACAAATGTCCTCGCCAGCACTCAGGTTCTCCATCCCGTCCCTCTGCCTCACCCAGCCCCCGTCCTGCCAGGCCACAAGGGGACAGAACCAAAATGTTTATGGCTGAGGAATGAGTCCCTGGGTCTCCGGCCAGCGCTGCCTTCCAACATCTGGGGCTCATCAGCCCTCGCTCCCTCCAGGCGCAAATTCCGGAGCCGCTGGCTCCGGGCGCGGACCCCGCTCGGCTGGGCCTCGGCTGGGCCTCGCAGCCGCCCCGCGTTTGGTTTTAATTACGCCGAAATAAAGGGCCTTGTTTTTCTTTCCACGAGCTGAAATCTGAGCAAACGGAGGCTGTCAGCCCCTGCCTCGGGCTGCAGCTCCCACTGCGCAGCCGGGCACACTTGGGGGGCCGGGGCATGGGGTGGCCCTGCCCTGGGCACAGCGGGGACCCCCGGGGTGGGCACGGAGGGGACCCCGGGGTCTGCCTGAAGCAGCATCAATCTCTCCATGGGGATCAAGGCACCAGGCAGAGAGTGCAAGGACAAGGGGGAGTGGTTTGAACCAAAAGAAGAGAGATTTAAATTCAATGTTAGGAGGAAATGCTCTGCTCTGGAGGTGGGCAGGCCCTGGCACAGGGTGCCCAGAGCAGCTGTGGCTGACCCTGGATCCCTGGCAGTGCCCAAGGCCAGGCTGGACAGGGCTTGGAGCAGCCTGGGACAGTGGGAGGTGTCCCTGTCATGGCAGGGAGTGGCTTGAGATGGGCTTTGAGGTCCCTTCCAACTCAGGCCATTCTATGATTCCATGATTTCCCTTGGCCCCACATGTTGCATGTTCAGTCCCTGCTGCCCCAGGCTTGGTGCCCTCCAGCTGCACATCTTCCTGCCAGCATCTCCCCTCTCTCCTGGTGATGTCTCCTCTCCCCAGCATTCCTAAGCCCGGCAAAGCCCAGCATAGGCTGCAGGAGCCTCTGCAAAAGCTGCTTGGCCCCGATGGCAGGCAGGTGGAGGCACTGCCAGCTTCCCACCAGGACAGTGGCTCCTGCTTTGCATCTCGTCCTGCAGCTCTGGCACAGCTTTACAGGCAGCAAGCACCCCCAGAGGGTGGTCTGGGGGGCTGGGGGCAGAGGGCAGTGCTGAAGCAAGGTGTGGGAGGGAGGCTCCTGGAGGCTGTGGCAGGATTAGTGTGGCAGGGCAGGGCTGGGTGTGCCTTGGCCATGGGGAAGCAGTGTGAGGGCAGCAGTGGTTGGGAAATGTCCCAGCCACTGGCCTGGAGGTGGTGAGAGCCAGGGAAAGACTTCATACCTGGTTTGGGAGGTTTTCCTGCAGCCCCGAGTCCTAGGGGAGAGCAAGCGCAGGGAGAGGGGTCAGAGCCATCCTCCCACCGAGCGTGCCCGGGCAGGGCACACGGGGGACAGGGCAGCCCCCTGCCCATCTCCTGAGCATCCTGCCCCTCTCCCCAGCCCAGCACAGCCTGTCAGGGGCTGCCAGCACTCACCTGCTCCCAAACCTCCAACTCCAGCACCTGCGAGCAAGGGCAGAGTGTGAGCAGTGCCCCAGGAGCACCCAGCCCCCAGCTGGGCCCCCGAGGGTCCCTGGGGAGGTAGGGGGGTCACACAGGTGTCAGGGGTGGGCCATCCCCCTGCCACGTCGCAGGATTTTGGCTGAAGGTCTGGGGACAGGCTGTGACCTCTGAGCACCTCCTGGGCAGGGTGTAGGTGCCAGCCCTGGGCAAGCCTGGCACTGCCACCCAGTCATGTCCCCACACCGTGGGGCTGATACTGAGTCCATGGTGAGCAGCCAGACAAGATGTCCCCATGTCACCTGATCCTGGCTGGCAGCTCCCCAGCCTTCCATGGTGTCTCAAATGCATTCAAGGACCCCCCAGGCACCAGACCATCCTTGCAGATGCCCCCTCCCAGTGGTGCCTGGGCCCCCTTACCTGGGAAAAAGCCTCCTCCTGGGACTCCCCCTCCCGGGATAGCACCAGGAACCCCTGCAAGAGAAGAGAGCCTTGTTAAAATGCCCCTAGAGGCCCAGGCAGGGAGGCAGGGGGCTCCTCTTGGTTCCCCAGCTGCTCCCTGCAGAGCAGTTGGGATGTGGAGCTCAAAGGCAGGTCCCTGTCTCTCCCTGCATCGCTGCTTGCCCGGGGTGACAGTGGTGGCAGGGTTTGGCGCTGCCCCAGTTGGGACCCAGGTGTCAGCAGGAGCTGGCCCGCATGGGAAGGAGGGACATGAGGCTGGCTGCTGTCCAGCTCTGCGTCCCAGCTCCTGCCCCACCCCACAGCCAGGGCTGTCTCCATCCCCTGCAGCCTCAGGTGGCTCTGGGGGTGGCTTTGGGCACGGCCAGGGACCTGGGGCTGTCCCAGTCCATCCCCACAGTCCCTGATGGGCCCAGCCACACTTGAGCATCCTCTGAGGCTGCCCCAAGTATCCTTAGGTGTGTCCCGTCTGCCAAGGTGCCAATGGGAAGAGCCAGCTCAGGCCAGTGGCACTGGGGTGACAGACTGGGAGAACACTGCTGAGACCCATGGGACCCCCCCTGTGTCCCTTTGCCTGTCTGTGTGGCACTAAGGTCACCACCCATGTCCCAGAGCTTCCCAGGGCACCTCAGCTCATGCTCAGAGGCCACAAGAGGGTTTTTTGGCTGTTTTGTACACTGGCAGTGCCACATGTCTGCTGCAGGCCACCAGGCTGCCCCCCTGGCTGGGTCCTAGCTCCACCAGGGCTGTGGGTGGACTGGGGACACGAGGGGGCTGCAGGGCAGAGGGAAGGGTTGGGGACACGAGGGGGCTGCAGGGCAGAGGGAAGGGCTGGGGACACGAGGGGGCTGCAGGGCAGAGGGAAGCTCCTCTTCAGGCAGTGGGAGAGGGCTGTGGTGGGGTTTGCAGGACAGAGCAGGACAGGGGGGCTGCCAGGAGGATGTGGGGGCGCTGCTGTGGCCACAGTCCCTGTGGGGAGCTGCAGCCAGCCCTGGTGCCTGCGCTGCCACAGGGGATGGACTTCAGGGGGCACGGGAACCCATGGGGGCCTGGCTGGGACCAGAAGCCACTGCAGGGGCCTCCCCAGGCCCAGGAGGTGGGGGCAGCCCTGGCAGCACCACCAGGGGCTGGGCAGTGCCCAGGGGCTGGGCAGGGCAGTGCCACCCCCGGGAGGGCCAGGCAGCTGGCAGGACTGGCACACCACAGCACATTGTCCTGCACATCTCCATGGCAGATGTGGAGCAAACTCTGGGGGCGTCCCCCACACTGTGCCCCACTCGTGGCAGGGATCAGGGTGTCCCCTGGGCCCTGCTCACGGGTCCTTTCCACCGTGGGCACCTGGCAGAGATGCCCAGCCCCCCTGGATCCACCAAGGTGTCAGGACACCCCCGTGTGTGACAGGGCTGTCGGGCAGTGCTCAGGAGATGCTGGGACAGGACATCCCTGGGGATGCAGCAAGCAGGGGAGGAGCTGTGCCAGGACCCATCACACAGACCCAGGCCTGCACCCCCCCACCATATTCCCTCCCGAGGTCCTGCCAGTGTCCCTGGACAGGAGGGGACGGGAGGGGACACACGCTCAGCCCTCTGGCATGGCATGGCCTGGCCAGGGGGGACAGAACGGCTCCTTTTCCCAGCACATTCCCCGCCCACACCGCCCCCCCAGCCTGGAAAAACACAACTCCAGCTCCTGCCTTGTTTCCCAACAAACTCCAAGCGTCCCCTCAGCGCCGGTTCTCCCTCCCAGCCCTGCTGCTGCTGGGAGCCAGAGCCGGGCACGGCCAGGGACTGTCCCCACCCGGGAGGGGCTGCTCAGCCCCCATCACACTGCCCAGCCTCAGCCCCCCAAAACCAGGCAAGGTCCCTGGTGCTGGGGTGACCCAGACTGACCTTCCCCACCCCTCTGTCACCCTGTGCCAGTGCTGGAGACTCCCAAGGAAGCTGGGACAAGGATTTCTCACAGCATCCCTGCAGTGTGGGGACCACAGAAATGTCCAGGTGTCACCTGCCTACAGCCACAGCTGCCAAACTCATCCCTTAATCACCATCACCACCCTCCTGGGGCACTGGGGGTCCCTCCAGGAGGGTCCCACTGTGGTGATGCTGTTACAGCTCCCTCCCCAGGCACCATCCCAGAGAGAGGGCTCCATGCCTGGACACATCTGGGAGGGTTGCAGAGGCTGTGCTGGTCTGTCTGCTGCTCCTGCCCACATCAGGAGGTCAGCAAGGCCTGGCAGGAGATGGGATGGCCTGGAGGCAGTGGGATGGGTGGCTGGGTGGTGGTGCCATGTGGCTCTGGGGGTACAAACCTTTCCCTCAGGAGCTCTTCCTCACCAGCTCTGCTGCCAGGCATGGCTGGACCTGCACTGCCCTGGATGCTCCTTCACAAGCTGCTCCCCCAGAGCCCAGCTTGGGGCTGTTCCCTGGTGCAGGCACTGCCAGGGGGTCTCTCCAGATCCCCCCAGCATCTCCAGTCCCTCCCCCTGGCAGCACCACTGAGCACTGGTGTTGGTGACAGCCCACACACTGGTGACACTCACTGTGACCACATTGGGCTCTGGCCATCACTCTCTGGCCATCTCTGTCCTTGCCCAGCCTCAGGGCCAGCAGCTCCCAGCCCAGTCTGGGGTCTGTGTGCTCCCATTTGTCCTCTCCACTCATTCCCTTGGCACAACAGAGAAGGGGAGACTGAGTCAGCAGCTTCCCAGCGCTGAAGGAGCTCTGTGCTGCCTCTCCTCTGAGCCTGCCAGGACCCTGGGAAGGGGAATTTCCTGGGCTCCCAGCCTGTCTCCTGGGCTGGTCTGGCTGTGAGCCTGCATCCCACCCCAGGGACGGCTTCTCAATCCAGGGGCCAGAGAATTCGCAGCCACTCGTGCAGCCCCAGCTGTGTCAGGGTGTGAGCCATGGAGGTGCTCAGGATCTGGTGTGGAGTCTCCTTGTTTATGAGAATGGGACATTTCCCCCCCCAGCTCCATCCACAGGTGTGGATATCCAGGCTGTTCCACTGCCAGAGCTGCTTCCGATCCCATTTGGATCGGCTGCACCGTTTCTATCTGCACCAGTGCTTGCAACTCCCTTCCCAAGCCAGAAATGCAGAGGATTTCTTTATTCCATAGGTTTTGAGACTGAGGCCAGGACGGAGAATCCAGCACAGCACATCCTCATACCTCACCCCTCTCTGCCCATGGGCACCCGGAGGAGCCTCAGTGCAAAACCACCGACATTTCCCCTCTTCTCTCATTCCGCTGTTTTCTTTTTCTTGGGAGAAAGTTATGGAAACATTCAGTCTCCAAGCGACTTTGAAGCTGTGCTGCATCCCGGGCCGAGCTCGCTGGTAGCAGCTCGGGGGAGAGGGGGGGCTGCTGCCGGGGCCTGGCTCCTCTCCAGCCCCCCTGAAGCTCCAGCTTTCATCTCCGAGCGCCGGCGGGCGAGCTGCACCCTGCCAGCTGGGAGGGGAGGGAGGGAGCAGCCCTGCAGGCCAGGCTCCGGCTGGGAAGGGGAGATGCCATCCCAGCCCCGCCCTGGGGACCCTGGGTGTCCTCAGAGGGTCCCCACAGCCCCAGGCTGGGTGCTACTACACCCGGTGCCTGCCCCTCTGCACCCACCCAAGCTGCTCCCTGTGGGCCCAGAGCTTGCAGGGCTGGGACCTCCCCAGGGCCCCTCTTGTCCCTCCTTGGGGGTGTCACTGCTGGGGAATCCCCTGTGCTCCACACAGGAAGCACTGAGGGATGGATGCCCTGCTCCAGATGCTGGGACAGGCTGCACTTGGCACCTTTAGGGAATCATAGCACCTTCCCCCTGCAGTGACCTGTGTGCAGATCCCCACAGTGCCAGCACAGCTCTGCTCCCCAGGGGCAGATCCCCAGAGGCTGATCCTGACCTGCTGCTGGAGGTTTCCTGAGTGCTGCCAGCTCAGCCCCTTGGCACTTCTCTGAGGTGACAGCCTGGGTATGAATCCCTCAACCCTGGGATGTCTCAGGGTTCCCTCTCCTGCCAGGCTGATTTTGAGCTGCACTGGCAGCCAGTGCTGGAGGACAGAGCCCTGACCATTCCCAGCACCCTGGGATCCCCCCTCATCATGCCACCATGCCTCTGTGACAGCTCTGTCCCCAAAGGCTGGCTTGCCAGGAGCAGGGGTGAGGCACCAGGCTGCAGAGGCACTGCTCAGTCCTCCATGGGAGAGCCTGCCGTGTCCCACTAGCACTGGGACCATCTCCAGGGTCAGCTCACCTCTTCTGTGAGCTGCTTCCCAAAGCAGCAAACACCCCTGGGGACTGAGCCGGGGCCCAGAGTGGGGCCAACAGTCCCGAGCTGCTCAGGAACTGCTGCAGGGTCTCATCCAGAGTCCAAATTCCTCCAGAGATGGTCTCAGCTGGCCATGGCTTGAAGGGTCAGAACAAAGCCAGCCTGGACCAGCACATCTCTCTCACTGCCAGAGGTGGAGAGTGCCTGGGACTGAGCACATCCCATCCAGCACCCTGAGCAGGATTAGGCACCAACAGCAGCTCAACTTCCCAGGCAGCTCCAGGCTCTGGGGTCCCACTGCCTGCACAGCCAGGGCCACCCCGAGGCTGGGGTCTGTGAGCTGCAAGGCACGGGCAGATGGAGCTGCTGAGGGCTGTGCCCTTGGTGACAGGTGGCTGTGGCTGTCCTGGTGCCCATCCAGCTCCGGCACTGCCCACAGTATCCTGCCCCCTCTCCTCCTCCGCTCCTCAATCCTCTCTGTCCAACAAGCCCCGCACGACAGCCCCGGCACCGACCCCGTGACCGATGGTGGCTCTGCCCATCACACGCTGTCCTTGGCACAGCCACCCGGCTCTCCAGAGGTGACTGTCCCCTTCCTGGTGATGCTGTCGCCTCCTCAAAGCCCTCTGCCCAGTTTGGCCACTTCAGCGGGGGCTCTGAATCTGTGCTCAGCTGTTCTCCCCGCCTGGGTGGGAGCTCAGCCTCCAGTCTGCGCCGAGACAGGGGCTGGTCACCGTGCTGCGCTGGCCGGGCTGTGTCACACGGCTGGGA